CCTCGCAGTCTGCTAGTGTCATGTCACGGCTAAGTTGATGAGGCAAAGTACTGACGCCGTGATCGACCACCAAGGAACGCCAGCTGCCCGCCTAGCTGCTGCTACCGCCGCCTCCGCCGCCGATACTGTTGGTTCATCCAGATGCCTGATCGCCTGCCTCCACAAGATTTCAGCCCTCGGCTTGTCTCATCATCACCGCACTACGCTGCAGAGACCTTCCGCATGGCTTGCTGCCGGCAACAACTGATCTGGCACAACTGAGGGCATACAGCACAGCGCAGTACAGCACAGTACAATACCAGGCCATGCTACATCGCATCAATGGCCAACGCCAGCCGAGTCCCATTATCCGGGCACGTCTGACGTACCTCCCGCCCCGCGAGGGGGCGGCGTGCATCGCATCCCGCTAGCTGGCTGATGCTGGCGTTGCTGGATACTGTGTCGACCGACGCACGGTACAATCGAGTACACAAGTCTTATGATACATCGCCCATCTTAATGGCGCGGCAGCTGAGTTCGCTAGAGTTGGCCTGCAGGGGGGAGCAAGTCGCTCCAAGCCTACCCGTCTCAAGCTCTCCTAACTTGGAATCTCTTTCTCTCTCTCATTTTCCCTATCCGAGGAACGGGACCTTGATGCTCAAGGACCACCCGGCCTCCGTATCCCGCGCCTGGTCAATCGGCCATTGGACATCATCTTGCTTCCTGGGAAGTCCCCTCAAGCCACGGGCATTCTTGCATGGCTATCTGTACCTCTGCTGCCCACTCACATCTCATCCTACATAAGACAGAACGGGCCAGTCGGCTGCTCTTCTTTTTTCTTCTCGTCGCGAACCGCAATTTGCAATCTAATACCCTCTCCTTTCAAATATCTCTCTTCACCTCGTCAATCTCGAACAATGGCCCACCAGCCTGGCTTTTCCAAATGAACGGGAAATATCCCGAGTCCGCCCCTGCCTTGATCTGTCGCCAGGCGGAGCACAATCCATATTAATATCAAGGCCTGCCCTCTTATATGCCGTTGACATCGTCACATATCCACATCGACCCCTGCTACCATACCCCAGGCGAAGGCATCTTTAGTCACATCTGCCTTTACGCCCCATACGCCCGTACTTACCACATACTTTATATATACATGCTTGACAGGCAGACCACCCACCGGCTGTCCGTCTAGCAAACACCTGCGACCTTTTATCAAATACACACCATTGGCTTTGACTTGCCAGTCATCGAATGTGTCAAAGAGTGAACACTGGCATACAGACAATCTCGACAAAAACCCCTGCGCCTCGTGTCACCAACACCCTGATCTGACCTGAGTTCTCTGCCAACAAGCACGACGTATTCCCAATCCTGGCATCTTAGCGACGCTTCCAACCGCAATACATATGTAGTTGCCCGCACCACACTACACTTTGGACGCTCTACTGTACACTTCGCAGCTGCAAGGCCCGCGACTTTGCTTTTTCCCCATCCTCGCGGCGGTCGCTTACAGGACCTCGCATTTCCCGTATCCTCCGTCTGCAGAACTAAATCCATGCTAGCATCGCCCTCGATCTAAAGAAAGCACTGGCTAGCTATCTGTTCACCACACCCTCTGCCGCCTTGCTTGTTGACGCTATTCTGGCACTGGAACAAAGCCCTCGGCTCGCACAGACACGCCAATACCCACTGTGCGTGACACTGCGACCAACACTTGTCTTTTACGTCTGTCAGCATTCTCTGCTGCACTAGCTACGGATCTTGTGCCCGGGTCCGCCTGCTAAGCTTCGATCCAATACTCCAATCAGCCTCCGCACATATTTGAGCCTCGTGGAACCCATGTCGACAGCTATCGATTTTGCACCACACAACTTTGGTCATACCATGCTAGGCGCCATGTCCCGACCTTTAAATGGGTGGCATGAGCCGCCATATGCTCCCAGGCATTCCAGAGACGACTACTATGCGCAAGACCGTGTAAACTCCGGTGGACGTCTCCCAGGACCCGCAAGCCTGTTATCAGGACCGCCGCCACCACCACCATTGTCCTCAAATATGGCCGGACGGGAACAAAATACGGCTTACAGCAGTAAGTCCTCATCGACTTACTATAGCGATTATGCGACACCCTCGCCTATTGGTCACTCTCCTCGATTATCACTCTCGAGTAGCGATCCTCCACCAATGGCTCCCAGCAGCAGGAGGCCTATCCCTGGGGATTTACGGCGGTCACCAACATTGTCTTCGCCAGTGAGTGAGCGATCAGACGACTTTCAGGACATTATAAGAGCACATCATCCCCTTCGGCAGATGGCAACTCAGGCGAGGCAACAGTTTGTACCAGAGCAGGGCCCGTCGCACGTCATGCGGAGAGAGTTGGACAGTCGCGTACCACAACAACCATACCCTACGTCAAACGGCGGGGCATCCTATGTTTCACACTCGGCCAGTCCTCCAGCCACTTACATGCCCTCTCCGCGTGAAGACCCTAAACCCTCTATGAAAATATCCAGTCTTCTGAGCGACGAGCGGCAAGAAAAAACCAGCAATTCTAAGGCACCAGTTCCGAGTCCAGTCTCGCAGACTTCATCCGTCCATAAAATTCATGTCAGGCAGCAGCCAGCAGCGGCTCGATCCTGCGGTTTTGGCGAGCGTGATCGTCGAGTAATCGATCCGCCACCCATAGTGCAGCTCACTATTGAAGACCCGGAGGCATCACCAGAAGAAATCAAGCAAAGGACGAAAGCGGTCACTAGCGCCGTGGTTCACTGCTCAATATGGGACGAGACCGGCATGGTGGACATGTCTGCAATGCCAGAGGATTTCCGCCAGCAGCGAAGACTGATGGGCACATTGGTGTCCTCGCCTTTTATTGGCATGGATGAGAACGGTGACGAGGGTTGCTTCTTCTGCTTTCCAGACCTTTCATGTAGAACGCCAGGTTCATATCGTCTTAAATTCTCCTTTGTCAACCTCCAACCGAAGATTATACGGCCAGGGATGAAATTGCCCATCCAAAGCACTACAATGAGTGACGTGTTCACCGTTTACAACGCCAAAGACTTTCCTGGTATGCAAGCGAGTACACCCCTGACCAAGAAGTTGAAGGAACAAGGGTGCCTCATCTCTATCAAGAAAGGCAATGACAAATCGAGCGGCGGCACACGGGCCAGAGATGATAGCGACGACGATGACGACGATGACGCCGGTTCTACAGGCGGAGGTCGCAAGAAGCGTGCAAGAAACCAATAATACTTGCCTTGCTTTATTTGCTTGCAATCCTTCTGGCGTTCTTCCGAGCTGGAAGAGGGAACCCAGGGTACAGGCGCATACACGGATATAATTGCATTACTGAGGACGAGCAAGTCATCAAATTGGGTTTACTGGGCCATATTTCCTGTTCTTAAATGGGGCTTCTTGGTAATGAGAGATGACGGTTTGCATTTTTCGAGAGATATATGATGATATACCCACACAGACGGTGTAAAAGAGGGACGGGACATAGCTTATGGTGTCAACAGAGCCATCATGCATCAAAACAACCCGTAGTGCTGGAGCTACGATGGGCGAGCTAGAGGAGTGTGTTGCTTTATAACAGATTTGTGGACTTGAGGTGATGTTATGGGAAGGAGGAAAATTAGTCTGCACGTCTGTTATCTCTCACTCGAGCTTCTAGGCACGATTTACAAGCACATGTTCTCGAAAACACTTCTATCTCGATGGCTTAGAGTGACCTTGACATCGTTATATTAGATTTCATCGCCAAGTGTGAATAAAAACAAAGAGAGGAGATTTCATTATTCCTTCACCCTTAGAATTGCTAAGAAGAGGCATCTACTTAGTCGTCTAATGACTTGAAGTTGAGGAACCTCGAAATAAGGTAGTGGATCCTCCGAAGGTAACCCCCCTTCAAAGTCAGGAACTTGGAGAAGTGAAAGTTGCAGGCCGTGCAACCCCGCTGACGAGCAGGCCCTGAAACGGCGAACTGCCGGCGTGAGCCCTTGTAACGGATACAGCACCCTTATAGGACCCCCGCGCTGGAACCGTAAGTTCATCCTGGGTGGGTTACCTCCGAGGCCGATCCCAGTAGCCTTCTTTCACCGCACCGCCAATTACGGCATTGCGGTGTCTTTGACTCTTTGAAGATCCGTTGCTAAGAAAGCTGCCGGTACTTGGAAGATAATGAAGGCAGACAGGCTCTCTGTGTCAGCCCGCTAAGATGCTTCCTTTGCAGCCCGGACTCGTCGTCCGAATGGTAGACAGCTGCATTCGCAATTGTTTGCAGTCGCTCATGCCCCGGAGGAGAGCCGTAGTGCAGAGCTTTATGGTTTGCGAACTTGGCATTTGGCATGCTGCAGGGAGAAAGGTCGGGGTTTTCACGATCCTCCTTGACCCTTCTGCATTGTTTGCTTCCCTTTCCTGCACCTCCTTTCGACGCCAGATACGACCCTCGACGGTAGGTGGGACCGCAACGGGGGAAGCACAGCACTGCCTCCTTCCGTGATACGGGTCTCTCCCCAAGATGATTCCTGTTGTGGCGAGATGTGAAAGAGAAGCAGGGAACAGCGGACGGCAATCTGTGCAACCATCATGCAGTGACCCTTTCAGATTCCCGGGGCGGGAGACGACGAAAAGGACAACCTTGATGGGGTCTTCTCACCTGGCGTGATTCCAGGTTCCCGGTTAGCGGCCAGCAACCTAGTACAAATGATGTAATCAACTCATCAACTACAAAGTTTGTCTACATGGGCTTGGGGGATTTTCCTGTCGGGACAGTGTCGATGTGCTCGAGGCGGAAAGAAGAAAATAACGTAGGTTTGACTACCAGTACATGGCGTGATCTTGTCCCTCCGTCGGACGAGAGCGCAAAATGACCCAATTGCCTGCGCAGAGGCTTGCGTTCTAGTGCAAGCCTTGATCACGCGCCCAAATATTGTTTCTTGTTTGTGGGCAGTATACAAGTTGGTCCAGCGATTAAGACCTCACGTCTCAACACACCAGTCTCGAACAGGAGCGCCTTAGAGCGACGCAGCAGCCTGCGTTGTGCCCCCAGCGAGGTTGGACCATTCTCGAGAGAGCCGATCATGCATCCTGACCTGCTCCTTGTCCGATTCTGGCTGCTCAGCCTTTGCTCGCTCGACCTCAGCCAACAGGGCACATGCTTCCGTAACACCTGATATTGCTGCCTTTGTCAAGAATTCCTCCCGCTGCGGCGAATCCTTCGGCAGCAGCTGCGCGAGGGCCAGATACCCTTCCGCATTGTCTAACTCCAGGGCTGCTCGTCGGAACGCAGCTTCGGCATCCTGGCCACGGCCCTGCTTGAGGAGGATCCGTCCTCGGCCCAGCACGCAGCTGGGCTCCCAGTCCCACCGCTTCGGTCGTACTACAGTAGTGGCCATTGGCTCACTGTCCTTCTTGCCTCGTGATGCAGTCGCCGTCTCCTGCAGCGCCGCCGGTGACCCCAGCTGCTGTGCCTTCGACCAGCCGCTGCTGGCGCCGACTCTCTGCGCATTGTCAAAGGCCGTCAGCGCCGGACCATCTTGTCCCCTGCCCGCGTAGATAAGGCCCTGCAGGGTCAGGGCATTTGGGTCTTTGCCCTTGCGGACGATCTCCCTGAACCGCGCGTCCGCCTTCTGGAACAGTAGCGAATTGGCGACGGCTTTAGAATTCTTGGCTGCCACCGTTGACATCAGACGCGCGAGATTGAGTGTCGAAGGCGTATAGCCCAGCTCCGACGCCGAGTGCAGAATGTGCATGCCCAACCGCCAGCGGTCCGAGAGGTCGCCGTGGATGAGCATGCTGCCTATGTAGTGTAGCTTATAAGGGCTAAGTCCATAGTCTTTTGGTCGGGTGAATCAGCTATTGTCCAACCAGGCCTCTATTCTCGTTCGTCACATACCGTTTTCGAGCTTCGGTCGCCATACCGACTCCCATTGCGTAGCCACCAGGACATAGCGCTTCGCACCGTCACAGCAGTCTTGAGCAGTCAGGCCGTCGATGTCCCATACCTCAACGGCCCGCTTCCAGAACTCTAGCGGCGGGACGTCTGCCAGGCTGAAGATCAGGCGCTCGTTGTCCTTCTTGAGCTCCTTCACTTGACTTGATAGGGCAGGCCTCATTGCTGCCCTAGGCCTTGCATAGTGTCGTCGCTGAGGCTGGAGTGATGATAAGCGAGCAGAACAGCTGATGCAGATGGGCCTGCTCGCATTGAGCATTTGTAACCTCTTCGCGAGGCGGCTTGCCGTTGCAAGTTCGACTTTCATGACGTGGTTGCTTTGGGCAACATGCCACTATTTACCACGATCTGGACTCGTTTTATTACAACTTTCAGTGAAGCATGCACTAGGTGCAACTTGGTCAGCCGCAAAAAAACAGACTGTCGCAAAGGGTTTTCTGGATCGACGCTGGCTTCAAGCTCCAAGATTTAACTCCAAAGTGCTATTCATAACATTGATGAGGTATGAAGATCTTAAATTATTTACTACCAGCTAGGTTAATCATTACTTCCCCACTACCTACCTTAGCGCGTGGAGGGGGTCTCTGGACAGTCTGTTAGCAAGACTGTTATCTCAGATCGCCCTGACCAGTACTGTTCACCCTGACAGGCTTGTCAGCAGTATTGTAGGGCCAAAAAGGTAAGTAGGTCATTGTAGAGTGAGGAATCTCAATACTATTGCTACCTAGCAGTAGGGCCTTTCCAACAGGGTGGCTAGTCCTCAACAGAGTGACCTTATCTAACAGTATGGCTACCTTTGACAACTACTGTCAGTTTCCTCACCTCACTACAAGTTGATATTATGGCGCTCTCTCTCTCTCTCTCTCTCTCTCTCAACAGCGATGCCTCTGGGTTGTGATATGGGAAGTTGGTCAGGTCCCCAGGACTCAGTGGCTTTGGTGGAGTACCTTGCTTAGGAGATTTAGTGTGGTCTGGACAGGCGCCCTCGCCGGACCGATCCATCACAGTGGCCAATGAGCTTCCCTTGACCTATACCCCACTAAGAAAAAAAAGTTGGTTCACACCGCAGCGGCACTAAAGTCACATTGAATATGATATCTTCGTGAGCTTGAAGTGAGTTTCAGGTGAAAAAGTTCTGGATCTGTACTATACCAGACTGCACAAATCACCTCCAAACTTTCCACTAGGCACTAAGAGGAGTAATTTGTCAACATGCCCATTCAAACGCGGGCGAGGGTCTATGACACCCCCGTCGCAGCGAAGAAGAAGGACACGCCCAGCTCCTCAGCCAAGAGGAAGCCAAAGTCGCAGACCGTCCCCGAGGCAGAGGACACGCCCGATGGATCGCAGCTGCCACAGAGTCCAGAACTAGGCCTTGGCGATCGTCCGGATGAGCAAAGCACAATGGGGCAAGCCGCGTCGTCACTGTCGAGGAGCGCCAAGCGGAAGCCTGAGGACGAGGACGCATCTGCCGCCGCGGCCCAGGATGAGAGCCCGTCGACAAAGAAGCAGAAGCTCGCGGTGAGGCCGAAGCGCTCGACTCCATCCAAGTCGCACAAGAGCTTTTCCGTTGAGATTCCGCTGTCTAAGCTACGAGACACCAAGCCAGAGGCAGAGGCCGCTGATGAGTCCTCACCCCCGACGAAGGACGAAGTCGTGGCAGAGACCGCTGCAGAGGTCGTCACGCCGGCGCCGTCCAAAAGCAAGCGTATTACTTTTAGCGACGATGAGCCGATGGAGTTCTACACGCCGCTGGAGGCACCGGCCAAGACTCCGCGAAAGACTCCGGCAAAGCTAGCTGCCAGTGTCGTCCCAGAGACGGTAGCCGAGGCAGAGCAGGAAGAGGAAGAGGAGAGCGACGACGATGAGGCGCCCGAGGCCGTCTCTACTCACAAGCCCGTGCAGAGCAATAAGGTTGCCCAGGCGGCTGCTAAGGCCGCTGAGCAGTACGTATCACGTTAACGCCCCCTGGGGGACGAGCCATGCTGACGCTCATCATAGACAAGCCGCAGAGAAGAAGCGCAAACGGCAAGAGAGGGACGCGCTGTTCAAGCAGCAGGCTGAGGTACGGAAGCGCGCAGAGGAGGCAAAGCAGCCAGCTGAGAAGGCCTCTCCAGAACCCGACTCGGACGCCGGCGTCGCAGACGACGAGCCCGCAGCTGCAGCAGCACCAGCAGATGCAGGAGACGTCGCCCGTTCGCTTGTCTCCGGAGGCGGCGGCAGGAAGAGAGCCGAGAAGCGCAGCCTCCCCAGCATTCTCCCCGCAGAATTTCTGGAGTCGGATGAGGAGGACGACGAGGGCGCGCTTGCGGCTGCAGGCGTCGCGAGGCAGCCAAAGAAGATAAAGTTCACGACGGCGGAGAGACAGCTGGCCAGAGACGGACGGCCGCCTGCGGACCAGAGGGTTGGTTCGACGGTGTACCGGGTCCTGCACGACAAGGCGGACAAGAAGCTGGCGCCGAAGCTGCAGAAGCACTCTCGTAATGCGAAGGAGGAGCTTCTGCGCAGAAACCGAGTGGCCCAGAGGAAGAAGAGCGGGTTCTTTGTTAACAAATAAGGGGCACCGGGAATGACTGTTAGAGAATGATAATACCCAGGCAGTGATATATAAGGGGCAAACCCTCATGTCACCAAACTTTGCAATCTCTTGCCCAGAAGGCGTGCCTTTGATTGCTGAATCGTGTATTGTAGAGCCGGGATATGATATATATAGTTCTACACGGGATGTGTCGCCGGCACATCAACGACGGTTTGTCGACCCAAAACCCGTACTTTCATACCGCGCATTGGAGTTAGAGCCAGAGCTTGAGGAGTTCGACCTCGAGGGCCCGGCCCCCCATCCACTATTTCCGCCCCAGGTCCCGCCATACCCTCCTCGGTTGTAGTCTTGGTTCCGATTGTTATTTCGGTTTCCTGCGAAATACCCAGCCGCCGCGCCTCCTGCTAGGCCGCTCCAGAAGCCGGGCTGCCATCCTTGCTGGCCGCTGCCGGAGGGTTTAGTCCCGGGATATGGCGGCGGGGGATCATTATACGGCCCACCGCCTCCTCCACCGGGGCCGCCTCCCCATCCGCCGCCTCCACCTCCACCCCAGGGATTTCGTGGCCGCCTCTGGCCTGGCTGCCGGTTATTGTTGGCCTGTACACAGGCGCTGTAGAGAATCCACCCCAGAACACCAAGGAAGATGACGCCGAAGATGTATGCGCTCCAGTCCGTCTCGCCAGAACCGAAGCGTCCTCCACCCAACTCTGGCCACCGCTCCTCGCCCTTGTTCGTGAGAACCAGCCGGTACTCGACGCCGCAGCTGCCCTTGAGCACGTAGGGGTCGTCGGGGCCGCTGTAGCCCTCGCAGATGACGTCGGTGCTGCCGAGCTTGAGCTCCGGGGGCAGGGAGGCGGTGCAGGACCACTGGATGTCCTCCTTGTCGTAGCCCTGGCCCTGGTTGACGCAGCGCATCAGGTCGATGGTGTGCTTGGCACATATGGACTTGTGGGAGATGCATTTGAGCTGGGGGATGGCGGGGACGCGGCGGTGGGTGGTCTGGCGGTCACCACGGAGGGTCACTGTGGGAAGGCAGGTTAGTATGAGCTGGCGAGGGTGCTGTTCCTGCGCAGAGGAGTAGCGACTTACGCGACTCGACCTCGGAGAGGAGTATGGCATTGCGAGGCTTGCTCGCTGCGAGCGCTGGTGTCGTGGAGATGGAGATGAAGAAGATGGGGTATAGGAACGCTAGGAAGAAATGCATGGTGACACTGATTGTGAAGAGAGGGCGTCTCAAATGTCCATGAAAACTAGGGTCAACAGCGAACACACGGTTCCGCAGTCGCCGTGGAGGAGTGCAAGAAGTCACGATGGAACAGGTAGGCGAAAGGACAGATGTCATGTTGCCCCGCGATGAAGGCGAATGACGAGGCTGAAGGAAGCTTTGGTATGCACCACAGCTTGGTCACCCGCTGGTGGGGTTTTCATTGGCGCTGTGACGGCGGCATGTGGCAAGCACGTTTGCCACCAAGCAGGCCCAAAGTCTATGTTCATTACCTAAGCTCTAAGGTAAGGCCTAAAGGGCAGGTCCTGAAAATGCAGCCCTACAGCACTCCGCTGCTCCAATCACGTATGCCATATTTCAAGATCTAAGATCGCATTGACGAGGTGATACTTGAGCATCCAGGCATTGTTCCGCGGCCCTCGGGTGCTATGGCTGGATGGAAAGGGCATGATGTCACCACGGATAATGGAATATAGTCAATTCCCAAGGTTGCACTCCGCGCCATTTGAGGAGCCGAATGCGAATTGCCTTTTACCTTGCAAAAAGCAGAGAAACAAACATGTTTTACGCCGCGAGCAATGTTATTTCTGGAAGATGTTGTGCTGCATTCAAGGACCGGTTTTTTTTGGTGCCACGGTTCACCATTCGAGTACTTTTGCCTGGGGGTTTTTCTTGTGTCATGCAAGTCATCTATCTATATGACAACCCGGGGAGGCTTACGGGAGAAGAGCCTTGCTGTATCACAGGCCAACCAGAGGGGCGGAACTACGATGCGAGTGCGATGCGTTGGATGCCATCTAGACTACCTACATGTAGGTAAGAATCTCACCTCCATTCCTCGGCGAAGGATCCGAGCCGCAACGGACCCTGGCACATCATCGCAACGACATGCCAAGATATTGAACGACATACCTAGCACCTAGGTACTATCAGATGGATTTGAATCATGGATACAGTACTGAAGTTTCAGGGCCCAGTGCGGCTTCGATGTCAAGTCAAGCCACACACCAATTTCCAGGCTCGCTTTCCTGGGCCGGTAGGAGATAAAATCCAATGTCGCTAGTGTCGCATTGGACGGGACCCGAGTTCAAACTTCAAACTTCAATCTACCGGTACCCGACCACTGGCACACACAGTAACAGTAGCGTCCTCGCTTTCGTTTACGAGCACGCCGGTTCCATTTTGGAGATGGAGGGTGCGCATTTGACCCTCCAAGGGTTAAACTCAAGTCAGCCTGCCGACAGGACGGACCCACGGCGTGCGACTGACCGACATTCACTTGGCTATCAGTGGGGGGTGACGGTGCGCATGTCGGGATTCTTCAGCAACCCGCGCCCGAGAAATTAGCTGATTGTGATTGTGATTGTTTTTTTTCTCGATGCTTTTTGCCTGCCTTGTTACAAGCTCCTGCGTATTACCGTAGTGAGTCACCGGGACACTAAGCTCTCAAACTGTGCGATGTGAGGCTTATGGTAGCCACGGGAATACGCGTATGACGAGTTCCGTAATCCAATCCACCATCGGGGGGGGTGTTGTTCTCCATCGTTTCTCCCTCGGAAATGTTTCAACATTCAGGAGGTACTTCCTCTGCTGGATACCTGGCTATAGATTTACCAACAGTTACAGAAGTATACAGGTAGGGCTCTGGGCCGAGGTGGTTTCGTATGCCCGGACACAGATCTGACCCGAGTCGCATCGGTGGAGGGTGATGAGGCACGTCTGCACTGATCAACACTCCACTCAGCGGGTAGCGGGCTTGGCTGGGTACCTGGGTACCTGGGTACCTGGGTAGGTCCTGGGTAGGGTGCTTCTTGGTTCTGAACCGCTTCTAGCGTAGGCCTACCCCGGCGGGTGTGGCGTCTCCTGCCAGACACCAGATACAAACAGGGGATGGAATTCGCCTGGTGGGGTGCCTTTAAGTTCCCCTGGGCGAATCGCATTGCGCCCGAGCTGCGCAATCGCCGTGTTTTGCACTGCTTGGGGTCCCCCGGGGTCAGCCAACATCCGCATCTTTTTGTGCCAAACCGACAGACCTTACTGCGTACGTACCTTGCGCGCGCGCCTCCATACGCACCCTCCTCCACTTCGTACACTTTTCCAAAAGAACGCCGGGTTTCTGAATGTGCGCCGTGTCGGCGCATTGGGCTAGAACAGCCAGCCGTACTGAATAAGTGACATGTGGGAGACATCGCTAGGATACCCGTTCCGGTAGGTAGTCAAGGTATCATTCATTCATTCCCCAAGTTACCTCATTAGGAGGCTAGCCCACTAGCGAGCAAGCTTGGTTTATCAGTCTCCTGTTGCCTTCGTCTGAAGCTTGTTTTCACATCTCGTCCTTTCTCTTGTCTTTCTTCTCTCGCTCTCGCACGCCCACCTACATGACATGCGTATCTCGTATCGATCCGAACTCCGATACGCATATCCTCTTGTTACTGTTGCGCCGTCTCTACATCAAAGGCGACAGTGATAACAATATAAAGCGAGCGACACGCTCGATATCTTTTTTCATTTTAGTCGCATTCCATCATAACATTGCCGCAAGAGAGGCGCTCCCCGATATTTAACCAACAGGCTTGGAGCCACCAAAGGCACAATGGCAGCCGATCTCTCAGAAAAGGTCGGGGCCGAGCCTCCTCGCTCGACCTCAAGCCATGGCGGCTCAACAGCTGAGGAGTCCGACCCTACTATCATACACCCCGCAGTGCTTGAGAAGGCCGACTCCCAGGTTGTCCCCCAGAAGAAGGAAAAGGATGCGGATCCATACAAGCATCTACCCCCTTCAGAAGCCGAGATTCTTAAGAAGCAGGTCTATACTCCAGACGTCAAGGTCGGCATAGCGACTCTCTATCGATATGCGAGCCGTACCGATCTCAGCCTCATCGCCGTGGGCGCCGTCGCCTCCGTCGCATCAGGCGCCGTGCTGCCCCTCATGACTGTGATTTTCGGTAACCTGCAGGGCACTTTTCAGGACTATTTCCTCGGAAAGGGATCTTATAACGACTTCATGGACACAATGACACATCTGGTGCTCTATTTCGTGTACCTGGCCATTGGAGAGTTTGTGACGTGCTACGTCGCGACTGTCATATTCATCTACACCGGTGAGCATATTTCAGGCAAGATCCGGGCAGAGTATCTGGAGAGCTGCATGAAGCAGAACATTGGCTTCTTCGACAACCTCGGCTCCGGAGAGGTCGTCACCCGTATCACCGCAGACACAAACCTCATCCAGGAAGGTATCTCGGAGAAGGTGTCATTGACCCTCGCAGCCCTCGCCACTTTCGTCACCGCGTTCGTCATTGGCTTCGTCGAATACTGGAAATTGACGCTCATCCTCTCCTCGACGGTATTTGCTTTGCTTTTCTGCATGGGTGGAGGATCCCAGTTCATTGTCAAGTACAGCAAGCAGAACATCAACGCCTACGCTCAGGGCGGTAGTGTCGCCGAGGAGGTCATCAGCTCGGTCCGCAATGCGGTCGCGTTCGGCACGCAAGACCGTCTCGCCAAGCAGTACGATGTGCATCTCACCAGGGCCGAGGGCTTCGGCTTCAAGGTCAAGGGCGCTATTGGCGTCATGGTCGCTGGCATGATGATGATCCTGTATCTCAACTACGGCCTCACATTCTGGCAGGGAACCAAGTTCCTCACGGAGGGTGTAATTCCACTATCAAAGGTCCTCATCATCGGCATGGCTATCATGATCGGTGCATTCCAATTGGGCAACGTCGCCCCGAACGTGCAGGCTTTCACCACCGCTTTGGGAGCTGCAGCCAAGATTTACACGACCATCGACCGAGAGTCCGCTCTTGACAGCTCTTCTACAAAAGGCATCAAGCTCGATAAAGTGGAGGGCCACATTCGTCTCGAAAACGTCAAGCACATCTACCCATCCCGCCCAGAGGTGGTTGTCATGGAAGATGTCACTCTCGATATCCCAGCTGGCAAGACTACTGCTTTGGTGGGTGCATCTGGCTCTGGCAAGAGCACCATCGTCGGACTTGTCGAGCGTTTCTACCAGCCAGTTAGCGGTACGGTCTATCTCGACGGCCACGACATATCCACTCTTAACCTACAATGGCTCCGTCAGCACATCTCTCTTGTTAGTCAAGAACCCACCCTTTTCGGAACCACAATCTATAACAACATCCGTCACGGCCTGATTGGAAGTAAATGGGAGCATGCCAGCGATGAGGAGCAGAAGCAATTAATTGAGGAAGCCGCCAAGAAGGCCTATGCCCACGACTTCGTTAGCGCGCTCCCCGAAGGTTACAACACCCATGTCGGAGAGCGTGGTTTCCTCTTGTCTGGAGGTCAGAAACAGCGTATCGCCATTTCTCGTGCCATCGTCAGCGACCCGAAGATCCTTCTCCTCGACGAAGCCACTAGTGCACTGGACAGCCGTAGCGAGGGAGTGGTGCAGGCGGCTTTGGAACAGGCCTCTGAGGGTCGAACCACAATCAGCATTGCTCACAGACTCAGCACAATCAAGGACGCTCACAACATTGTGGTCATGAGCCAAGGCCGGATCGTGGAACAGGGAACGCACAACCAGCTTCTGGAGAAGCGTGGAGCATACTACAACCTCGTCACAGCGCAAAACATCGCAGCGGACAACGAGATGACGGCCGAGGAAGAGGAAGCTATCGACGAGGAGGAAGAGAAGCTTATCCGCAAGAAGACTTCCAACAAGGAGACTAACGTAGAGGGCTTCGCTGAGGACCCCGATGACAATATCCGGGACAGGCTTAATCGCACAGAGACGACGAAGTCTCTCTCGAGCGTGGCGCTTCAGGGAAAGAAGGCTGAGGATGAGAAACAATACTCTCTGTGGACTCTCATTAAGGTTATCGCCAGCTTCAACAAGAACGAATGGCCCTTGATGCTCGTTGGAGTCTTCTTCTCCATTATCTGCGGTGGTTTGAATCCTGTACAGGCGCTCTTCTTCGCAAAGATCGTAACCGCGCTGAGTGTTCCCGTCACGGAGCTGGTAAGTTAATTTTTTATGATGGCTTTCATACACAGCATTCGTTCTCGTGCCTACATTTTGAGCAAAACTGACTAACTCTCTTTAGACAATCCCAAAGATGAAGTCTGATGCTTCCTTCTGGTGTCTCATGTATCTCATGCTAGGTCTTGTTGCCATGCTCGCCTTCTCTATCCAGGGCGTCATCTTCGCCAAGGCATCAGAGCGTCTCGTCCACCGTGTTCGTGACCGAGCTTTCCGCACCATGCTCCGACAGGACGTCGAGTTCTTCGACCGAGATGAGAACACTGCCGGCGCCCTGACCTCGTTCCTCTCAACAGAAACCACACATGTTGCTGGTCTGTCCGGTGTCACGCTGGGTACTATTCTCATGGTTGTGACCACGCTCATTTCGGCGCTGGTCCTGGCCTTGGCTATCGGGTGGAAGCTTGCTCTTGTTTGCATCGCTACCGTTCCCATCCTTCTTGGCTGCGGGTTTTTCCGATTCTGGATGCTGGCTCACTACCAGAGACGAGCTAAGCGGGCGTACAACGACTCTGCCAGCTACGCTTCTGAGGCTGTCACAGCTATTCGCACTGGTAAGTCGATCTTGAAAGCCATCTCGTGTTGAGTAGTCTCGCTAATAACAAGGATGCAGTCGCTTCTTTGACTCGCGAGGCCGATGTTCTAGCTCAGTACAGGGAAAGCCTTGCCATTCAGGAACGTGCTAGTCTGATTTCCGTGTTGAAATCAAGTCTACTTTATGGTGCGTGGAATACTGAGTCTCCCAAAGCCTTCTATCCGTTACTGACGACTTCTAGCTGCTTCACAATCGTTCATGTTCCTGGCATTCGCACTGGGCTTCTGGTACGGTGGAACTCTCATCGCGAAGTAAGTGTTGCTCACCCGCTGTTGCAAAATAACTGCTGACATGAGATTCAAAGATATGAGTATGGCATGTTCCAATTCTTTGTCGTCTTCTCCTCCGTCATCTTCGGTGCCCAGAGTGCCGGATCAGTCTTCAGCTTCGCCCCAGACATGGGCAAGGCCCAGCAGGCCGCCAGCGAGCTCAAGAAGCTGTTCGACCGCAAGCCCACCATCGACACGTGGTCCAACGCCGGCGAGAAGCTCGATTCCGTGCAGGGCACGATCGAGTTCCGCGACATCCACTTCCGCTACCCGACGCGGCCCGACGTGCCCGTGCTGCGCGGGCTGAACCTGACCGTCCACCCGGGGCAGTACATTGCGCTGGTGGGGCCCTCGGGCTGCGGCAAGTCGACGACGATCGCGCTGCTCGAGCGCTTCTACGACCCGCTGGCGGGGGGCATCTTCATCGACGGCAAGGAGATCAGCTCGATCAACGTCAACGACTACCGCAACTTCATCGCGCTCGTGTCGCAGGAGCCGACGCTCTACGCCGGCACCATCCGGGAGAACATCCTGCTGGGCGCGACGGACGACGTCAGCGACGAGCAGATCGAGTTTGCGTGCAAGGAGGCCAACATCCACGACTTCATCCTGTCGCTGCCGGAGGGCTTCAACACGGTTGTGGGCTCGAAGGGCACGCTGCTCTCGGGAGGTCAGAAGCAGAGGTAAGAAGATATGACACCAAAGCCCTCCAAGACATCGCTCTGCAGATCAGTAGTAGGTCGCTAACAACAGCCACGTAGAATCGCCATCGCGCGCGCCCTCATCCGCGACCCCAAGGTGCTCCTCCTCGACGAGGCGACCTCGGCGCTCGACTCGGAGTCGGAGCACGTGGTGCAGCAGGCGCTGGACAAGGCGGCCAAGGGCCGGACGACGATCGCCGTGGCGCACCGGCTGTCGACGATCCAGAAGGCCGACATCATCTACGTCTTTGACCAGGGCCGCATCGTCGAGCAGGGCACGCACGGCGAGCTGATGCGCCGCAACGGGCGCTACGCGGAGCTGGTGAACCTGCAGTCGCTGGAGAAGAGGTAGTGAGGCGCTGAGGCTGGTGGTGGGTTTCCCTGCATGTCAATTTTTTTATTTTTTTTTCAGCATTTGGAAGGCGTTTCTGGATAAAAGGTCAAGAGCAAGCACGCATAGCATTTGCTATCGCCTCCACATGAGGATTGGAGAGATAGAATTTCTCTGGATAGGGGTTTTGGCTCATTGTTGCACATATTGGTCATACCATTCACTCAGATAATGTAGATATTAATTCTCCCATGGCAAAATGGCCAGGTCTCTACTGGCTGGTCCTCTCGAACTCTTCATGCACCACGTGAGAATCGGCTTAATCTATCATATTCCTGAGCATGGCACGCCAGAGCATGATTGATTACCTCACACTACAAGGTCCTCAAGCCAGCAACGCAAGGAGCAAGTAATCATAAACAATGGAATTGTCCACCCACGTTTCAAACAGTCTCATTCGCCAAGCATGCACACGGTAAAACAACGGGATGAGGTAATCATCAGCGGAGAATCAAGGGAGGCAGTTGCATCCTGTCATCAGAAAAGAAAACGCCTTAGGCTCATGCCGAAGCAAGACGGACCCTGCTAGTAGTTCGGCGTGAGGTGAGCCAGTCTCACGCAGCGGCTCACATTGTTTGCATATGGAACATGTCTTGCAAGGTGCGGAAGATTCTTCCGCAGAGACCCAGGTGTCCACTTTGCAGCTTTTGGCTTCTTTTGGCGAGTTTGTATGTTTGGAGATGAATCCTCCTCGAGATCAGCCGCCTGGTAATATTTCCGCGATGCTCGTTGCCAATTGCAGCTGCGTAGCCACCATTTTCCGTATCGTCTAATAATTTGAAGGATTTCTTCATCGAATGAAAAGTGATGGGCGGTGATAGCTCATCTGGCAGGACATGACAAACAAAGGCTGGAGTTGAGGCTATTCTACGAGAGTGATTGCGGGCGCTGATGAGGCGCCAATGACGAAGTGTCATTGACTAACACCCGAAATGATGTTTGGACACCTTCAGTCTCCCCAGTCTCACGTGAGTTGCACAAAGGACCTGCAAGGGACAGATCTTGGAGATTGGTGCCCTGAGCAGAGAGGCGATCCTTGTTGTGGGATTGGGCAGCCGCCTTGCTTGGCAGGCGAACAACGAGATGACCATCAGCCGCCACTGATTCAGGCACAGGCACACGGCTGCAAGTGGAACAAGACGTCTGATTGTGTGTGTGTGGATGGATGTGTGTGTAGCGGTGGTGAGACACCCCGCCTCGTGGCTTCGTGGTTCATCAGTCGTTGGAAAAAGCGTAGACACAAAGCTGTCGTGCCATGGTGCCAACGCAGCAATCCGCGAGCCCGAATGGAGGTGCCAGGTTTGTAAGTTTGTAAGAGAGACGAGAATGGGTGGAGGGACACGCAGGTTCGGTGATGGTTTGCCGTTTCTACCGACACTGCACAGGAATACCTGTTTACAGTAGTATTTCTCGGATCTGTTGCCCTTGGCCTTGTGGCTATTGGACATCGGGCGGGTGAACTTCGGTAGCGACTGCAAGACTCAGGAGGAGATGCCAGGCGACAATCGATCGATCGAACATGGTGGCCAGAACGTCGAATGCGAACGCCATGTAATGTACGATGGATGGGCGATTCGCGAATCCGTCAAAAGCCGTTGAGCTAGTGCACATGGTAGCATTGGGAAGCAGGAAGCGACTCCCAAAAGATGCTTGGAGGTAATTTCGCCAAATTCGATAGCGGCTGGCGAAAGTGGCCCGCTTGCTTGGTTAACAAGCTCCAAGTTAACATACCGTAGTGAGCGGGACTGGGCCGGATCTGCAGACAAGAAAAGAATTCTTAGAATTCTTTCGCACGTGTGAGTGCCGGCTGCATTTGTACAGAGTAGGGAGAGATCAGCACAATCGGCGGCATTTGCAAGAGGCTAAAGATCAAGAATATGGCATCCGCTGAGCTGGAAGCTGGCAAGCTGCATTTCCACAGTTTGTACGAACGGTACCTGCCTTAGTCACCCAACATATACTTAATCAAGACGGGGCCGCCCGCATCTGCAGCTCATAAACGTGCAGGCAATTGTTTGTACCTGAATTAGCGCAAACGTTATTCGCCCCATTCTTCACGTTCATTCATTGAAGAAGGCAGTTATGCCACCGTTTGTCTGCGCCCCCTTTTCTGTAGCGCGAACTGTAGGACTGTTGTAAGCAACTCACCGTGCAGTGCACTGGTGCAGTACCTCTTGACTCGATCCATTTGCTTTGATATGATCAGTTATGGGAGCTGTACCCAGTCCGGAATGCAGGAATATGGGGCCTACTACCAGACTACCAGAGCAGGCTTTTTCACACTCCATCGTGGCTGCTGCCCGTTGCAGGAGAAAATCTCGCTTACGGAAGGCTCGTCTTCTTCTGGAGACACGCTCCTTCTGCCCCAGTTCAATCCCCAATTCCCACGTCAAATCCTGGGAAGGTGTACGTAAGACCAGTCAGGGGACGGCCAGACAAGGCTCTCGACAGCAGGTTTCTCTTTAACAATCGCGGCATGAAATTGACAATCATTTCTGCTTCGTCTGTACCTGCGTCACTTCCATATCGGATCTCATGTATACTCACTTGAACGCTTGAGCACAATCCCTTCTGAACCGGTTCGCATTTCGTGCCGCCGGCCGTCCACCGTGTCATCCCGGGAAGCTATGCCCTGTCCCTGTCTTGCAGCCGAACACGATGGATGCAGGGCAAAAGTCTCCTGGTGACCAGCCATTCTGCATGGCTTGGGGGCATGGGCACGGGCACAGCAATCGCTCTTGGCAACAATCACGACTTGTTTCTTGCTGCACACCTGCGAACTGATCGAGTTCGCGGCAACCGTCGTTTTCTCTCGCGAGATCAGTGGGCCTGCGACAAGGCTCGGACTCCGCTGCGCTAGGGCGTGCCTGGCAGGTGAGCCCGTCGGCATTGCGGCTACCTAGTCGCTCGCTGGCATGCAAGTTACGACGGGATCCCAAAAGGCCGGGCTCGTTTCCTTCCTTACATCGACCATATTGTGCATCAAGCTGTGAGAGAGGGACCTCCTGGAGATGGAGACAGGAAAGCTGGCCGAACACCTTAGCCTGCCGTATCTGCTGTTTATCTCCATGTCAGACATCCACACCCCTCGGCGCTGGTGGCTTCAATGAAGCTGCTCCTTTGGTCAGCCGTATTGGACTCAATGCAACGAGAAATCAATAGTTGCTTCCAGCACGCCAACACGCCCCCAGGGTCCCCACACACATGCTATCGCGCGCTCAGTCACTCATACGAGGCCCTAGGCCAGGCCACCAATGCCCACTCTCCAAGCCATCGGACACCACGGAGGCGCTAGAGTGCAACGCTGGGAGTGGAGAGGCGGGCGGTGCAGGGTCGTCCTGGTCTGGCTCTCTGCCTTCCCACGCGGCCATTTCCTACAGAGACAGTAATCTACGGATTCTAGGCCCCGGCCAGCCCTTGCAAGCGTCTGCAAGCCTCGAAGCGCCATCGCACGGCCAAGCTTGCCAATAAGGTAATGCCTCAACATGCATTCACCTGCCAGAGCGAGCACGCATTGTCCAACTTTCCATTCCAATCCAGGGACCACGCCCCCAATGCCTGCCTATTCCCATCCTGTCAGGCCTGCTTATTGCTTTTATTTCCTCTCCTCCCGGTCAGGGCCTTATCAGGCGGTCCACGCCATCTGCTATTTCTCTTGGTTTGCGTCTAGGAGCGTCTAACTTTGCTCTTATTGTGCCTGCCCTCCTTTAAGTGCCTGTAATCAAGACCCAATATCAATAATATGCGCTCTTAACCCATCCTTCTCGCCCTCTTCCAAGTCTATAACACCCCCGCAGTGCCCGCACCAGTTTGATCTGGTTGCTCCTACTTCCACTCGCCAAATCGAGTGACGGCATTATCGTCCATATTTAAGTGCTTGACATCCCACTCCTTCATTGGTGTTGTGAGCAAGCTCACGCGGAAACATCTTCATTTATCCGCCTCGCCTATATCCAGCTCATTGGCCACAAGCGTCCCGCCACGCTTTTACTGGGAAAACCAGTCTCCGGCCCTTGATCTTCACATCAAAAGATCTCCAGGATCTCCCTGCTAGACCATCTGCCACCGGGCTCTTGGTGCCTTGATTATAATAGGGTCGTCGTGCCTGGCGTTTTGAAGAGACAGTCGCCTGACAACCGTCGTTGTGCGTACTCGAGATTACAAGGGGACCAAAGCTTCGAGCTTCGAAACACCGAACCCGACATCGAAAAGATCAGCGCTTATTCCCTGTTCGCCCAACAGCCCACTTTGCCTGGTCCGGGGGGGGGGTCGCGCTCGCTGAAGATTGTCGGACAAAGTGATGTTTCACACTTTCCAACTGCAACTTGCAGCCAGTTCATGATGGCCTCGTCTAGTCCGCTCGGTTTCGACCACATGAGCGCTGTTTACATCTCCAAACCTAGCGGTTCCTCGGTAACGCTACAGCATAAGCCAAGGATACAATGGGTTGGAGTTATGTTCTTTCTATCGTGGTTCCTGTCTTTTGCGGCAGCCGCCGTAGTTGAGACGGCTCCTGCACCGACAGAAGCCCCGTTTGTATTTGAGGGCGAGTCTTTACTACTGGACGAACGCATGCCAGTCTTAGAAAGAGGAGTATGGAAGATGGTGTCGCAGCAAGAACATGAACTTCGAAGGAGAGCTAAGGCAGAGTCGGAAACTACAACTGTCTCGATACCCGTGCCGTCGACAACTACCGTCTCCGCGAGCCCGCTCCCGAGTCCTTTCGACAGCAGCCTCGCCTCAAACTTCACTGGGAACGATGGAAATGGTGCTTGTCCAGCCTTTATTAACTCATTCCTCACGAGCCCTACTTTCAAGCAGTGCTATCCAATCTCATTGCTTCTTCAGGTATGTGAAACTTCCGTGGAACATAAAACAGGGAAACAATGATTTCTGACGAGTATGTGCAGAGTTCTCAATCCTTTTTCGATGCAGAAAAATCACTGGTCAGAATCACTCAGGTTCTCGACGCTGGTTGCGCGGCGAATGTCACGTTCTGCACAGGTTATCTCACTGAACTAGCCAAGAATTTGACCGATGCCTCCAACTGCGGCGCCGATTACCAGCTTGGAAACTCTGTCGTTGTGCAGGCGTATATTGGTCTCCTCTCTTACCAAGCGCTTTATAGTGCCACCTGTCTAACCGATCCCGATACCTCGATGTATTGCTTCGCCAATGCTGTCACCAACCTCACAACACCATCCAATATTTACGTCTACTACCTGCCTCTCAACATCTCTCTCCCCGCCAGCTCAAGTCCATCATGCAGTTGGTGCCTGGAACAGACTATGGCCATATACCAATCTGCGGCAGCCAGCAGGAAACAACCAGTCGCATATACGTATGAGTCTGCTGCCAGTCAGATCAACACAATGTGTGGACCAGATTTCGTCAACGCAACATTACCAACGGAGCTCAAGACCAGCTTTGCCTACTCACTTGCGGCGGAAGGTCCTTCGTGGCTTTTATTATCGTCTATATTAATAATGGCATTACACTGGCTGATTTAAAAGCCAGTGCATGCTGTGAAACACTTCTACGAGCAATGATACAAAGACTTCGGAGTCTTCGGTTTCGGTTACGGATATTTTTCTAATTCTGGGTTTGGGACACTTTGCAACATTCTATCATTTTCTTCCTGGGATATATACAGGCGCCTTGATACCCCAAATACTTTTGTTTTGGTTTCTGTCACCTCTTTTTATGAGTCGATCAACAAATCCGATTGCGTCTCGAAATGAGGGCACTCCTTGGACGGTCGGCCCGACTGGATTTTTTCGGTATTATATTCTGGGATGGTTAAGTCATTGGTCCCAGGGAACTTGGGATCGGAAAGATAAAATCTGGGCGGAATATATGGCAATAGCCATCGGATTCGGAAATTGTCAGCGGTAGGCCCAGACTGGCCAGCTGGTGATCACATATACAAAGGAAATAGGGGCGAAAGTGGCTTGATTTCGGCCTCAGCATGGAACTGCATCTCTGGGATAATCTAATTTTCTAAACATGCTGTAGGTCCACCGCCTTTTTACATTGCAAATGGTGAGCGGTGAACCAAACTAGCAGCACTTCATGTACATACTTCTCTATATCCACTTGTCAACTACGACGAGCATGGATCAATAGAAATGGACCATGGCTTTAGCCAGATCCTATCTTAGCAATTGTGCTCGCGCATTCTCCAACACCATTAATCAGGTGATCTTTCATGATGCGTGCTGAGGTCGTAGTCTTGGAGAAGCATCTTTCAGATCTACGACCCCCCACAAACCCCGGACGAAGAGCGATCTCTAACAGTATTGCGTAGCGATCTTCCCCAAGCATTAGTTGTGTTCTACAGGTCGATTCGGCCTGTTGTCATCCGCTCCAGAGAACAGAGTCGCAATTTGCGGAGACGTACTGTACCTCCTAGCGGATATGTGGTCTTGACCCCTCTCGTCTCGGTACATCATTGCCTCGAGGAAATCTGGGGTTTAGCAGCCAGCTCCCCGACTCGGGCCGTCTCGCAGCAACGACATGTTGGAAGCTGGCACACAATTTGGCTCGCAATGCCTGTTCTTCCCCAACTTTTTTTTTTTTCTTTCTAGGCCAGAGTTCCCCAATCGCAAATACCACCATGCGAGCCTGGCTGGTTCGTGACGCCATAGGTATTAGCCAGAATGGTAGAGTGACTCTCCCAATTGATCAACGCCCCCGTCCGTCCAGCCCGTCTGCCCTCGTGCCTCGTGATTGCTGGGATTGAGAATGTCCTGCGGGCGGCCCTGGATGTAACCTGGCCTCGTCCCCAATATCCCCGCCATGGGGCGGGCGGCGGGTAGCGTCAGTTTGGCAGGTATGAGGCAGGCGATCGTAGTTGTTTGTTTAAAAGAACGGTAATCCCGGCGCTGGAGCTTGGAGCTCTGGGTAGCTTGTGCATTGTACGTAGTGCTGCTATCGCTTTGTAGTCGGCTTGTACGAGAAATGAGACCCTTGATTGTGCTCTCGGCCCTCGCAGGCTGGGCGGGCACTGCTCTGTCGACTTCGGATGGCCTCACTGATGCGGTGACGTGGGACAAGTATAGTCTCCTTGTCAACGGAAGTCGCGTTTTCATCAAGTCAGTTAGATGCCTACCGATTGGCGCCAGAGCTAAGAATGGCTATTAAATGTGCTTCCAGTTCGGCCGAGTTCCATTATCAGCGGCTCCCAGTGCCTGAGTTATGGCCAGTGAGTGAAGTTCGTCAATTTTGGGAAATTCCAGCCCCTGACTCAGTGACAACAGGATGTCCTCCAGAAATTCAAGGCCAATGGCTTCAATGCCATCAGGTAGATCCAATCCCAGTTGTAAAGTCGCTTGGTATGAGGATTCTTACTTATGCTGCAGCGTCTACTTCTTCTGGTCGTACCACTCCCCATCCAAGGACGTATACGATTTCGAAACGTCTGGCAAGAACCTCCAATTCCTCTTCGATGCTGCCAAAGACGCCGGCTTGTGGGTCATAGCAAGAGCTGGGCCATACTGCAACGTGTGTATGGATTGACATGAAACCGGAATAGGGGCTAATCTTGTGGCAGGCCGAGACCAATGGCGGCGGCTACGCTCTCTGGGGCTCAGACGGCAGCTTGGGTAATCTTCGCACAAGTGACGAGACCTATCATCAAGCCTGGCTGCCTTGGGTTGCCAAGGTGGGAAAGATCATTAGTGATAACCAGATCACCAACGGAGGCGTAAATGCTCTCAACACCTAACGTTTGCTATTCACAAGTGCTAACGAGACGCAGTCTGTCATCCTGAACCAGCTCGAGAATGAGCTTCAGGAGACAGTCCATTCTGCTGATAATACCGTGGTACTATACATGGAACAGCTCAAGACAGCCTTCCGAGACGCCGGTGTTATTGTTCCATTCACACACAACGAGAAGGGCATGCGATCCCAGTCGTGGTCGACCGACTATCAAGATGTTGGAGGCTCCGTCAATGTTTATGGTCTTGACAGCTATCCTGGAGGATTGTCGTGTACCAATCCGTCCACCGGCTTCAATGTTGTCCGAACGTACTTCCAGTGGTTCTCAAACTACTCTTTCACTCAACCCAGCTACGTGCCTGAGTTTGAGGGTGGTTGGTTTTCTGCTTGGGGATCCACGACATTCTATGACCAGGTACAGAACGTTAAGCCCTTATGAGCGAGAGCCAAGAACTCATTATCTGTGTAGTGTACCACCGAGCATTCGCCGGAGTTCGCGGACGTGTACTACAAGAACAACATCGGCCAGAGAATCACACTCCAGAGCATTTACATGACATTTGGCGGCACGAATTGGGGACACTGTGAGTTTCACCATTGTGCCCGGCTTCCCTCGAGTCACTGCTCATTGTTTTTAGCTGCTGCTCCTGTCGTATATTCCAGTTATGATTACAGGTATGCACAATCTTTCAAGACAGATTTCAACCATCTTGATAGCTAATAACCTTTTTAGTGCTCCGCTTCGAGAGACTCGCCAGCAATGGAACAAATTGTTCCAGACGAAGCTTGTCAACTTGTTTGCAAGTTCGTCTCCGGACCTGCTCAAGACGTACATGGTCGGAAATGGTACCGGATACCATGTATGTACCAGAATATAAACATTTGAAGATACTGTACTGACATGCCCAGGTATCATCAACATCTGTCTGGACCTGGGTGCTGAAGAACCCGGATACCGGCGCAACCTTCACCGTGACACAGCAAAGCAGCACACCATCGACGGCGAATGTGACATTCTCGGCAACATTGGACACCAGCGAAGGCAGCATTACCGTGCCGAATGTCTCCCTGAACGGACGGCAAAGCAAGATCCTTGTCACTGATTATGTCTTTGGGGACCATACTCTCCTCTATTCATCCGCTGATGTCGCTACATATGCTATCTTGGACAGTGATGTGCTTGTGCTTTACCTCAAGGAGGGCCAAGTAGGGGAATTCGCCTTTAAGGGTGATGATGACCTTACATATACGGTCCACGGAGAGTCGTCTTTTGCTGATGCTACAAACGGCACCCATCAGGTTTTCACCTATACCCAAAGCCCAGGAACGACTGCCGTCAAGTTCTCCAACGGTGTGTTAGTCTACTTGCTGGAGCAGAGTGCAGCCTGGAGACTTTGGACACCGTCGACCACATCTTATCCGTATCCCCAAGCCGACCAGAAGCTCATTGTTCTCGGACCTTACCTTGTCAGAAGTGCCAGCATCAGCCACCAAGTGCTTCACGTCTCTGGCGACAATGATGTGTCCACCACAATCGAGGCCTACGTTGGCTCTGCGACCATCTCTACAATTGACTGGAATGGTGTTCGACTCGCGGCAACTAAGACGGCTTACGGTTCTTACACCGCGACTATCCTAGGAGCCGAGACGAGGACCATCTCTCTCCCATCCCTGGACCGCTGGCATTCTGCAGACTCCTTACCCGAGTCGCAGCCTAACTACGACGACTCCAGATGGATTGTGTGCAATAAGACAACAACCCTATCACCGGTAGCTCCGTCGACGCTCCCGGTGCTCTTCAGCTCCAACTACGGCTTCTACTCTGGCCCGAAGGTCTACCGAGGCTACTTCGACGGCACGAATGCCACGTCCGTCGACATCACCGCCAGCGGAGGGCTCGCGTTCGGCTGGACAGCCTGGCTCAACGGCGTCCTCATCGGTGGCGACCCCGGCAACGCCTCCTTGACAACCACCACCGCCGTGCTGGACCTTCCGGCCACGGCACTTAAGACCACGGGCAATGTGCTCACCGTGCTTGTCGACTACCACGGACACGACGAGACGTCCACCGCCAAGGGCGTTGAGAACCCCCGCGGTCTGCTCGGCGCGCGGCTGCTGCCCGGCGGCACCACGACAGCCACCGGCTTCACGACATGGAAGATCCAGGGCAACGCCGGCGGCGACGCCAACATCGACCCGGTGCGCGGCCCGATGAACGAGGGCGGCCTGTACGGCGAGCGGCTGGGGTGGCACCTGCCGGGCTTCGACACCGCCTCGTCGCCCGTCAAGTTCGACACCGCGACGCCGCTCACCGGGCTCGCGGCCTCGGGCGTGCGCTTCTACACGACCACTTTCCACCTCAACATCGACTCGGACCTTGACGTGCCGCTGGGCATCGAGCTCTCCGCGCCGGCGGGCACCGTGGCGCGCGTCACGATCTGGGTCAATGGGTACCAGTACGGCAAATATGTCCCGCACATCGGTCCGCAGACGCGATTCCCCGTGCCGCCGGGCGTCATCAACAACCGGGGTTCGAACACGCTTGCGCTGAGCCTGTGGGCACAAACGGACGAAGGCGCGAAGCTCGATGATGTGAAGCTGTTCACGTATGGTCAGTACCAGACCGATTTCAAGTTCAACAGGGACTGGAGCTATCTCCAGCCTGGCTGGACGGATCGCAGCCAGTATGCTTGATCACGCTTGGTAGACTTCCCCGGTAGTGCCATAGCTAGATAGTAATAAACGTTGCGTAGATTTCATCATCGCCTTCAGAGAGGCGCGTTAACATTCTAGGAGACACCATATCGAGGCTTCTTCTAGGTGCAAATGATGAAAGACCGTTATTGGGGCATACTCGTAGCGTACCGCGAAAACATCGAGATTGTTTTGTCTCTCACCGGCATACGTGTTAGGAGCTATATATATGGGGGATATGCTGCAACGACGATCTCAATTCAAATTCGATAGATTCAAGATCTTACGGCTCCCGTCCACATATCCTGAGACATAAAGCTATCGATATTATGAAGAGTCGTGTTGTCAAGCCTGTGGAGGTTTATGCCCATACCCCTGTCTGACTATCAACGCGTTTGGAAATGATTTCCACAATGCCCACAATGGCGGCGATCGCTGTAGGGCTGACTGCAAGTGATGCGCATTTCGTGCAGGTTCAGCGGCTTGGCCGCCAGGGAACCTGCACACCCCACGCAACGCCTATCGTGAAGCGATCACAGCGAAGAGTATGAAATCGCATGTGAGCTTCACCCACTCCGATTGCTTCAATATGCAGTCCCAACAGCCCGGAGGTGCTAAATCTGATCTAAAGTGACTCCACTGAGTGTGACTTTTCGCAACAGGGTGCTTTCCCAACAATCGCAGCGTTGCATGGCAGAACGCCTTCTGCAACGGCCTGGCTCTCCATTGGCGGTCCTCGAGGACATCCTGCCTCTCATCTCCGAGTACTCACATATGCCAACGGAATGCGCATGCAATATTTAAAGCCACATTTCTGACCGGCTGCGAGCCTCAAGCGAGAGTCTGTGGACGTCTAGATATCGTCCTTAACAAGCAAAGTAAGGAAAACGAGATAGAGTATGTTGTTCTAGAGTCTCTTGACAAGTGGGGGAGGATCCAGACCCTGTATGCCGCCACTTCTGACCAAGAGAGATCTTCCCCGGATGTCTTGTCCGGTTGGAGCTCATTCACTGGATGTTGGGAGTGTCTCGCGGAAATTAGCGCTGTCTAAGACGCCACGATGGTCGGACATTAGATCAGGACGACGGCGCTTCCAAGACCAGCGACCAGTCTACGAAGGTACTGGGTTGTGGGTATTATGACAATGTCTGTATTGCTTGTTTCCCACAGTCGGCACCAGTTGATCAAAAAGCAAAAAAAGCAAGAAAATGCAGAGGAAAAGCGCATCCCAGATCTGACGTGGGTAAAAACCTTCGTCGCTCGACCAAGATGGTCTGACAAGTCAGATATCCGTAGTAAGAGAGCACTTGCCCCTTGCTTCCTGTCAAATTGACGGACCGATCGGCAGTATGATATCGCTTGCTTAATACTGACGGAAAATAACATTCGAGAATGAAATACTCTTCGAGCCGAAGCAGCACTACAGCAACGGAAAGGGAATCGCAGTTCTTCGCTGAACGCAGTCGATAGGAAATATGCCACCACTTGAATGAATTGGTTTATCAGGCAGGACAAGACAGCACGCACGTCTCTCCGTTGCACATGCGCAAGAGGGTATAGGATCGTACAGAAGTCGCAAACTGACCTGCGAGTGTTCGCAAGTCTAGGCACCACGGCCGGCTGCACTTTGGGGGCCGGATGGTTCGGTTGGGTACCCTAAGTTTAGTACATGTATCGCACGCCACCTTAGCTTCGATCTGAAGAGGACAAAGATTTGGGAAAAAGCAAAGACGAAGAGTGGCTGGCGAAAGTGAGCTACCTGCCATGATTAGTCGGTAGATGTCATCCACACTCTTTGCCATCGAGACTGGTTGAGTGGTAGACCATCTGTCGGTTGCTGCTCAATGTTTGCGGGACCTGCAGCGCCACCTCGCACAGGATGTGCGGCTGTACCTGCATATAAGGCCGCCGATGGATAGTGGCACACACCGTTTGGAGAGAGAATGGCGACACTTCGGTAGCTGAGTCAAGTTGGGCGTGCTCGGTGGGGTGAGACAATCGGCTCGGTCCAGTCCCAGAGACGGGAAGTCTATCTTCTGAGAGACATCTGTCTTGGTCCTGACTAGACTAGACTGGACGACCCCATCGCGGACGTCGCTTGCAACGAGAGGCAGCGTTCTGGTCGACCATCGCTGTTTACGGACCGACCGGAATGGTCCTGCTTGATCTTGCTGGTTTTTCTTTTTTCTCTGGTTGCTTCTTTCACTCCACTGCACTGACCATGCAGCTCCTAGCAGGCATGACCCCATCATGCAGTGGAGACCCAGCAATCCCCTTGCATCAATGAGTGGTTTTTTACCTGGGAGAAGCAAGCCTGACGTTTTTCTATCGTCACTGACATGGCTGTTATGCAGCTACTATTGCAGCCGGTGTCCTGACGCTCCAATAGTTGGTGACCTAGACGAGGAAGGCTCTGCTGGTGCTAGTATAGTGCTAACGCGGACACACTGATGACAAGGATTGATTATCAGGACGGAGATCAGACTGCTCGCGGCCAAGCTGATTCTAGGAGGGCAAGGATACCATGCATTGGGGACGGGAGAAGAAGAAACGGATCGGAAGACTGTCGTCTGCCGCCGTCGCAATGGAGGGCAGGCTCTTGCCGTCCAGTGACGCGACACTGCAACCCTAGGGTGTGGTTCCGAGTGTAGGTGGTCGCATCGGGCATATGAATGGCGAGGCTCAAGCTCTTCGAATAATACCTTATTAAGGAACGCATGCATCCTTGTGCAAAATCTTTGTGAAAGGATTTGAAGACTCTTTCCATTCTTGCTCATCCTATAGCCCTACACCTCAGCTTTTGCTGGTTTTGTTGCTTGTCTGTCCCGGCATCATCCAACCCAACAAACTGTTGCGCCAGTCAGGCCCATATCGGACCGGCCACCAATAACAGCGCCAATTGGCTGCTGCATCCAATCTTCGCAAAGACCTGAGTGATCTCATCTGGGATCCTGCAACCGAGAGACCTGAAAACCGGTCATTACGAGGCCCGCCTGTGAAACAGCGCCGACAGCAAGAGAGATTGGCCGATACGCATTGGCGGAACTAGGAGCTGTGTCCCGAAGACGCGCACAACCTGGAAGGCCGCAAGCAGCCAACAAGCCCGATTGATCCATCGTTGCGATATCGATCTGATTGGCGGCATTTCAACCCCACCACGGTAGACACACGCCTTGGACCACCTGGACGACCAGCTCGCAGGCACTTGCAGTTGCTTGCAGGGTTGCTCGAGCCTCCAACAAGCCTTGGTCCAGTACCGTGTAAGCCCTGCACCCCCCCGGTCTGCCCTGCCCCTCCGCGATCAACCTTCCCCATCCTGGCTCCTGTATGACAACAATCGCGTGCAGCCCATCGAGAGACGCGTCTTGCTTGGACACCACCACACAGGCTAAATGTTCCCCAGGATCCACGAACCTCCCCCAACAAGCTCTCCATTCATCCAGCTCAGCTCGATATTTTCCCAGTCTTCTTTTTCCTTGATGCGGCCTCAGTCCCTTTCCACAGGCAGCCGTCCCAGTCCCAATTGACCAACTCGAGGCCAGTAATTGAGGCCTTAGTCTCAACCTTAACATTCATTCATTCATTGTGTCATTGCTCTCTTGGCTCGATCAACACACTCACTCTCCTTATCTCCCGCTTGCCCAGCCCTTCTTGTCCCGTTCCCGGTCACAGCCTTTTTGCGAACAAGGCTGGATATTTGACTCGACGGGAAGGAATTGCTGCTCATCCGGGATACCCATCATTGCCTATGAAGACTGCCGGCGAACCGCGTCTCATATATAAGACCACCGTTCGAACACGGCCCCTGACATTCAGCATTCATTCAGTCACCTTGCGACAAGACCAGGTCAACAGTTGCGCTACTTCTGTCGTAACCTGACCCATCGGTCCAGGGTTTCCGTGCTAAGCCCTGCCCATTCCATTAAGGAGGACCCTTTGCATTCCAGTGGTTTATTCACCCATTCTCCAATAGGAGATTCGGATCCAATCGCCCAATTTGCGGGTGGCCTTGAGGAGAGCAAGCTGGGTTCTTGTATCTTGGCCTGCACCCGCCCTAGTTTCTGGAACAAAATTCCCAGTGGGGATCACCAAAGTCTTCGGAGACTAGAGATAGTCCTGGAGGGATCTCTGAAGCTCTAGCTATCTGGTGTGGTGCACATAGAGGTCGAGTTGCTGGCGGCGCATCCAAGAAACCGGTGTTCCCAAGTTCAATTGTCAACAGGATTGGCAGATTTGCGCGCATCATGGCGTCGATCCCGCGTGCGATCCCAGCGGTGCTGGGGGCGTTGGCTGTGCTTACAACAACAGCATTGGTTGCCATTCACATTATCCTCTCGCATTCCCTCTCGACATCAGCCCCAACATCAGCGGTCCGAATCACCGCAATTATATCGGCAGCACTAGAAGCCACAGTATTAGTAGGATTGATTGCAATGCTATGTTGCTATCTCAGCTCAAGAAAACGATCGAGGAAGTTCAGCGGACTTGGATTCGGCTCTGGTGTTCTGCTATGCGCTTTGGCTGCTGCGGTTTCAGTGGCGGCTCTGGTGTGCTTGAGCAGTTTATCAGGCGAGCTTCCAAACACCATCCTTGGATCGAACACCGTTCCCTTCCTGGTTGGCGCTTCTGTGGTATTGGGGCTTGCGTTCGCGACGCAACTCGTCTTTCTCGTTGTTCACTTCATCTCGGCTCGAATGCATCAGGATGAGGAGGCGCATTCCATCCATACCAATGACGGCGGCCGTCGATCTCCCCAGCAGCATGTCAAGTCTATTCCTTATGAGCAAACGAGCCCCAGCGCTTCGAAGACCCGCGGTAGCACGTCCATGGACTCGAAGAGCCCCCCAGGCTCAAGTGGCGGACGATCTGCAACAGAGACTTTGACCTCAATCCGCTCGTCATTGTCTCATGTAGTTCGCCCGATCTCGTCGAAGACGAGACTGCTATCCAACAGTCAGAGGTCCTCGCGCCGGCCTGCATCTTTGGATCCAATACCGTATCGCGACAGCAGAACCACCGAGGATGGGTTTGACTCCTGGGATACGTCAGCAGTTGATCCCCACAACCGCCAAGCCGTGATGGAAACATCATCCCCTACTCCGGGTCGATTCTTGGAAACAATTCCGGCTAGCCCAACTACAAGTAGGAGTCCTAGTCCGGGCACCCCTCTCGATCTCGAGCCACCACGGAATCGACGACGTAGCAGAAGCTACAGCCCTGCAGCAAGCAGGACGAGACAGCAACAGCAGCAACAAAAGGCAGCCTTCACGCAGCAGCCTTCTGCAAGCGAGTCTCACATCCACCCCCTGTTCCGATCGGATTCTCCCACACCACCGCCGGTGGCCAGTCCTGGAACAGTAGTCATCGCTGCTCCCGAGGCCGGGAGAGTACTGTCTGACCGGCAAAGCGTCCGGTCCCTGACACGTATGCGAAGCGGCAGCCTGCCGGTGGTATCAAGCCCGTTGAGTCGGCAGGGCAGCTTTGACGAGTTTCATCAGAGGGTGGTGAAGGACGATGGCTCCATAAAGGAGGAACTGGAGGAGCCCGCTGCGGAGAGCGAAAGAAAGATGACACCGCCGATTCCCGATTGGATATTGAGTGCGGGCTCGAGGACGAGCCTCTCAGACTACCACAGTCGGAAGCTCAAGGAGAAGCTGGATGAGGAGACGACCGGTCGATCATGACAAGACGTGGACGCGCAAGGTGCTGGAAGGAATGACGAGGAACCATGATGGGATGATGAGTATGAAATGAGCCTGACAGAATCATGTCACGACTGATGCATGATGTCCACACTACACACAACGTGTATGTCTTTTTCCTCTTGTTTGGAGTATATTGGGTGGCTTGGGGTCATGGGACGATACCATCTTTGATACCTTGAGCGTGGCGTTTCTCTATATAGGATAGAGAGACAGACAGACGAACAGTTCTCTCTCGCTTCACAGCAAAGCTTGAGATTGAGCGACCAACAATCCAAGAAGTAAAAATTAAGGATTCGTGGAGTGTCTAGAGTGATATGGTGAATCTCAACGATTGCAAGCTGCTCCGTGCCACCTGCAGCGTGTCGAGCATGCAGAATCTGATGGGGATTGACGATAAAGTGAAGAGGAGAAGAGAATCATGAGGTGAGATGGGCTTCCTAATGTTTGTAGAACCCTTATCTGAGGAAGGGAGCAACAGCCCTTGGTGGAATGCAGTTTCGGTATATTGATGTTCCCATTCCAGCAAGGGCAGGAGCGTTCCTGTAGCTACCCTAAAGCAGAGTGAAGTGAGGAAGGCGCCTGCCTTGCATCATTCAGTCATTCATCCCACCTGCCACTTCACTGACTAACTACCTTGGGTATTGCACAGTAACTAATTATGCGGGAAGCAACGCCTTGCCGTTGTCAGGTCGCCTCCTCATTACATAAGTGGGAGGTTGGAGGGTGCAAGGTAGGTACTTTTGGACATGCTGAGCAAGCCTGCATCCTTACCATTATTAAGGCCAAACAAAGTCTTCTCGAGTCCAACCGAAAATGGCGGGGTACAGTACTGTGTATATCGTGGGTGTCATGTAAAATACTGTAGATTTAGTAGGGTCATTAAATGTACTTCCAGGTCAGTTGATATCGTCTTCTAGCTTTCTTGATGCCAGATGCGATATAGACATACAAACAAAAGGTGGGTAGATATCACTCGATGGATATATGTAATGGGTGTTCATCGGCAGAGACCTTAGAAACCTTGCGTCGGACTATATCTATCCGGGTAGGGGGTTTTCGATGTGAATTCCATCTGGTGTCTTATTACCAACCAGGCCAAGAAAGGCATCTGCGGTGCCACGCGCATCATCTCCTAAAGTCGCATGGCCATAGGCTGCCTGTTAGCGGGGCAAAGCTGGAAACTACCTTACCTCACAAGCAACCTTGGCCTTGACTCCACCAGCAAGCCAGCCAGCCAGCAACCCAGTCCTGTGAGGCACCGTGACCCAGCAGAGAGAGCGAGTGCCTTTCTGTCGACCTGACATAACCAAAACTAAACCAACCTTACCTTGCCTTACCTTCGCCTTCCCTTTACATCATCTCTTTTCTCTCAACCTCCTCTACCTCTTCTGCGACGACGCGAATTTTTCTTCTTCCCTTCCTTCGCGCTCTCTCATAACGACAGCTTCCAGCACTGTCCTCTCCAGTCGACGTTACCAACCTTCTTAAGCACTCACGTACGGAGCAGCCCGCAGCTGCATCGCTTGCCCATCATGAAGGTTACATTCAAGGTATGGAGATGCGAGCTCACACACCTCGGCGCCATGTCCTCGGCTGGCCATCTGCTTTACCGACCATATTTCACGAAGCTAACGTGCCATCTACTACAGGACCTCAAGCAACAGAAATTCACCATCGAAGTCGAGCCCACTGACCTGGTATGAGACCCCGCCGCCATGCACTGGTCATCGTTGATTCCCCGCCACCCGCCGAAGCTCCATGTGTAACATCAACACCACATCAGACCCCAAACTGACATGTTTCTCAGATCTCAGCCGTCAAGCAGAAGGTTTCCGAGGAGAAGGGTTGGGACCCCAAGCACCAGAAGCTCATCTACTCCGGTATATACTCTCACGACTTAGGCCCCCGCCGGCTGACCGTTTCTTGGTTGCTGATGCGCTCTAGGCAAAATCTTGAAGGATGAGGACACTGTTGAGTCTTACAAGATCGAGGAGAAAGGCTTCGTCGTCTGCGTCGTAAACAAGGTACAAAGCTACTCCAGAGAACATTCTACAGAGCAGATTACTGATGTACTGGCCCGACATAGCCCAAGCCTGCCCCGGCCGCCGCCTCATCCTCGGCTGCCCCCTCAACTCCTGCTCCAGCTCCCGTCTCGACTCCCGCACCGCCAGCCGCTCCGGCCCAGGCGAGCTCTGCCCCCTCTGCTGCTCCTGCGACTCCCACCCCTGCCAGGACTACTGAGGCTGGCTCCGGTGCGACCTTCAACGACCCTAACGCCTTGACCATCGGCGACGCGCGCAATGAGGCGATTGCGAACATGGAGGCGATGGGTTTCGAGCGAAGTCAGATCGACGCTGCGATGCGCGCTGCATTCTTCAATCCCGACCGTGCTGTCGAGTACCTCCTGACAGTAAGTCCAGCTTGTGAACTCGGTGTATACGGACGGGCAGCTGAATATGTCTAGGGTATCCCCGAGGATCTTCAACAGCAACAACAGCCCCAGGCCCGACAGGCGCCCGCGGCAGCCCCCGAGGGTGGTGCTGCTCCCGTGCCTGCTGCTGGCGGAGATGACGATGCTGGCATCAACCTCTTCGACCTTGCGGCCCAGCAAGGTGGTGGTGGACGCGGCTCCGGTCGTGGTTCTTCTCAAGCTGCAGCGGCGGCGGCAGCTGCCGCCGCCGCCGCCGCAGGTGGGCAGGCTGGTCTGGGCAACCTAGATTTCCTGAGACACAACGCCCAGTTCCAGCAATTGCGCCAGGTCGTTCAGCAGCAGCCCCAGATGCTTGAGCCAATCCTCCAGCAGCTCGGTGCCGGCAACCCACAGCTGGCCCAACTCATTGCGCAGAATCCGGACCAATTCCTCAGCCTCCTTAGCGAGGATGCTGATGACGACGTGCCTCTGCCGCCTGGTGCTCAGGCCATCTCAGTCACTGAGGAGGAGCGCGATGCCATTGAGCGGGTATGTCTTTTATTCTCGGATGCTTCCATCTCTGAAAATACTAATCGACCCTCTAGTTATGCCGCCTGGGCTTTGACCGGGATCAGGCCATTCAAGCCTACTTCGCATGTGACAAGAACGAGGAGCTTGCTGCCAACTTTCTCTTCGACCAGCCGGACGATGATGAGCCCGGCAACCCGCAGTAAACAACTCTCTCGGCCTCGTTAGGAGATGG